TACAGAAAAAAATCTCCCAAATGTTCCTAAATCCTCAGAACATCCACAGACTGAATATCCATCTACTCATATTAAGGAAGAACCAGCCTCAGGTAATGAAGGACATCTCACAGACATTTCTACACCATCAGAACATCCACAGACACAATATCCATCTATTCACATTAAGGATGAAGCAGCCTTATGTGAAGAAGGAAATCTCACAGACATTTATGGACCAACAGAACATCCACAAGGCCCCTATACATCTGAGTATATTAATGGGGAAATGACTTCACATCAGGAAGGAAGTATTACGGGGATTTATACACTAATAGATCCTGTACATGTAAAATATACATCTACTTACACTAATGAAGAGACACCCTGTTTTGAACGAGATCCTCCATACACTGATCCATATGAACCCCCGGGATATCATTATAAGAAGGCAACTTCTGGAGAAATGGCTAATATCACTATTGATATACCAACGCCATATATATCTACTTATATTAAGGAAGAACCGGCCTCATATGAAGAAGTCTGCAACAATATTGTAATGCATACGCAAGCAGAATATGCATCTTTTTCTAGTTTCAGTGACACGCCATCGGACCAAGAGCTGAATGTTCAGTCAGGGAATAGGCATGTTTGTTCTGCATGCGGGAAAGACTTCCTCTATAAATCTAAACTTATTCGACACCAGAGGCTTCATACGGGAGAGAAACCGTTTGCGTGTCCTGAGTGTGGGAAATGCTTCACACAAGCTTCCAGCCTCTCAACCCATCGACGACGTCACACGGGAGAAAAGCCATTTGTTTGCTTCGAATGTGGCAAATGTTATACTGACAACAAAAACCTAATTAAGCATTTTAAAATCCACTCACAAGAGAAAATGTTTGTGTGCTCGGAATGCGGTAGATGCTTTCTGTCAGTATCAGAGCTGGTGTCGCATCAGAGAATTCACATAAAGGAGAAACCATTTTCATGTTCTGTGTGTGGGAAATGCTTTACGTGTAAAGCACATGTTGCCAGACATCAGATAATTCACACAGGGGAGAAGCCATTTTCCTGCAACAATTGCGGGAAATGCTTTGCAAGGAATGCAACACTGGCTGCACATCAGAGAATTCACACAGGAGAGAAACCATTTCCTTGCACCGAATGTGGGAAGTATTTCCGATATAAGAGCCATTTTAACAGACATATGAGAATACACAGTAGAGACCATCGGCTTAAAAGTACTTTGTGAATTCACTGTGCAATGTAAATATAAGCTGTTTTCATTTTTACTTTTTTATTATTATTAAGGGAAAAATTAAGAAAAAATTGTCTTTTAAATAATATGTATTGATACATTATGTTTATTTATGTACTAGTACCAACATTCCTTGTATATGTCATCCTGGGACATCGTTATTCCTCAGGGAAATCTGTGCTTGAACATCAAATTGCCCAAAGATTAATCCAAAATTTTTATTCCTGAATGCAACTGCAAGATTTAATTTAAATATCAAAAAAGTCTAATCAAACATTTATTTTACCTGCTTTTACACTTTGCAGTTACCTGTGGGATTTCATTTGTTCTAAAGTATTTCAGATAAACAAATGGCTGTTAAGCTTTAGCTGCTATAAAAGCTCCTGTGAAATGCATTGGCCCACGGAGCTAAACTTTCACTGTTTTAACAACCACCCAACTGCCCAGGTTTAAAAATTGCTTGGCATGTGAATCATGTCTGTGTGTTCTGTGAATTATTTTCTATTATTTTACCTAAAGGGATACTTTAAGCACCATAACCACTAAAATGTGCTGTAGTTGTTATGGTGGCTGGTTCCTGTTTATGAATGGTTTAATACTTGCCTAACTATTTTGAGTGTTCACAGTCCTTCCAGTCTGAGTTAATATTCTAAAGCAGAAATTCAATGGCTCCATTTGTACCAACTCATACAACGTTTGGACATTACTATTCATAGGATAGGAGGGTCAGCTGACATCCCTCCGCCAATGGATACAAACAAAGCCTGGTATGTGTTGGTCTGATAATGCAGAAGAAAGCTTTATCAGCTCAGAACAAAAGGACCGTGTACACCCTACATCGCAGGATAACTGTAGTTGTTATGGTGCAAACAGTGTCTTTTTAATATAAGAATGTTTCACAAATTTAATGTGTTTTCCTGCAGTGGTTTAATTAGGACTACCTGGAGCTAAATTTAATTCAAATACTAGAGAAAAATATCAATCAACACACAGATCCCAGTAGAATAATATCTTGTTTAGCTATATGTTGGCTTTTGAGCAACTTATTGTTCTCTGAAAACATTACATAATTTCCACATCATTCTCTAACGATCAATAAACTTCTATATTGTATAATTACTAAGAACAAATATGTGAGCAGTCAGTTTATTATACGGCAGAGGAATTCTGGTGAAATACTGCAAAAGGAAATCAACCGTATTCTATTGCAAAATCAACAAAAAGCACCATAACTGCTGCAGTGCACTGTAGTGTTTGTGGTGTCAGGAGTGCCCTGGTGCCGCAATCATAAGAAGTCAAGTAGTAAAGAGAACAGTTGATTGTGCACTATCCCAAATCACTATGCACATTTAAATAAATGGAGGTTATTTAGTAACTCTAGTGGCCATTAGATTGTACGCTCACCTGCCATGTCAAGGCATACCTCTTGGGTGAGTACTACGCTAATAATTCACCTTGCTTCTTTCAGCTTTGGTAAAAAAAAAATCGCTAACTAGACATATTAGGGGTATTTTTCTAAACCCCTAAATACTAATTAATACTAATTAATAGGGAACACATGGGGTAATTCCCTATTAAATAGGAGTTTGGGCGCAGGACTTATTTTTGTGTATTTGTATTTACTTTTTGTATCACACAGCCACATGTTACAATGCTGCCTCCCATCCCATGTGTTCCCTATTAAGGGTTACTAAGTATGTAGGGGTTAACAAAAAAACACCCCTTTCTGTCTCATTAGAGATTTTCTTTGCCGGAAGCTGAAGTAGTTTTAGTGTAGGACCTACCTAAGAGGTTTGTCTTTGTAACGGATCCCCTATACTCAGACTGAGTGTATGCATTATGAAGCTCCCAAGTCCCAATAGTGATTATAGCCCAGGTTCCCCCAAGCATTAGCCTAGACTTGATCAAGGGGTAAAACGAATCTGTTTACTCAATGGCCCACTTTTATACAGTACAGAGAAACAGTAAACACGCCCAGGACACCCCCATAAACATACCCGCAAAATGTCCCCAAAATCCAGTGTCACCACGACTAAGCAATAAAGTACAAAATATGAAAAACAAACAAAAATACGTATTTCCCGCATAGGAACCCCCACAGACTATACATCCCCGGATAGCCTGGATCTGAGCGCCCAACATATCCAAAAAGCGCTCAGTTCCCACAAACACAGCCGAAACGGCATCAGGGCAAAGTTATGACTGACCGCACACAAGGCGCCTGCCCAAAACAGTTCCAGAGATTCAGTGGTAGCGGCCGGTCACCTTCGGGAGTTCCGTACGAAAGAAATACCAAATGCACACTCTGGCTTGTTGGTAGTGTAGCACTTGTTGGTAGCGTTTGATCATATGGTTCGTATGGCACGCGTTCGTCAAATTTCAGCGGTGTTCGGGAGTTTCAGTGTTTTAGTTCCATGAACTCGACGCCCAAACACAGCTGCCTGCATTCTCGCCAACAAGATGGCCGCCAACACAGTTTCCACGTGTTTATGCATACGATCAACGGCCACCCAGCAGCACAATTAGAACACACAATGATTGAAGTGTCAGGAGATGTTAACAGCGGTTAACAAGCACAGACGTGGTCCATGAGTGGTTCATGAGTTTGTTTGGTTCCTGAATAGTACATATAAATCCCACAAACTAAGTATTTTTACCAGCCTTTTCCATGGCCTGTAGTCAGTGGGCAGGAACCTGGCCTCCACACTCCTCCAGGAGCCCGTGGCGAACGTCCAGGCAAAGGGACGTTCGTCACAGTCTTGATGTGGCAGATAGGCTTACATCTAATGGCCACTGGAGTGAAACAAAAAAACTCCATTTATTTAAATATGCATAGGGATTTGGAATAGTGGGCAGGTAATAATTTACTTTGGTTTTTATTGTATGTATTGGGCGTATCAGGAGCTGCTCCCTGTCTACAATTTTACTGACTGAGAGCTAAAATCGCCTGCTCCTCCTTAGCTAGGTCCTGCAGGCCTAGCTCATTGACTGAGAGCGCCCACTGATTTCTGTTAGCTACAGAAAGCCCACTGTAGTGTTTTTCGAGCTTTGAGAGTTCTTTTAAGACAAAATTAGAACTTTCCCAAGTATTAGCGCGAATATTTATTTTGGCTGAATTATTGGCTCAAACAATTCACGTACACATGCACTCATATCTGCCCACACATTCCATTCTTGCAACGACATTCAACAGAAGAATTCTCAATTTATAACACTTATATACCTCGGCCAGAGAGGGAGCTCTGATAAGCCTTCAGAAATCTTGCTTTGTAACTTGCAATAAAGTGTGTTTACTTTGAATCCTCCTTTTGCCCTCTATTTATTACAGGCCTACTCGTATGTTGGTTTTAGTACACCTCAACCAACTTTGCATCTCCTTTTACATTCTATTACGTATTAGAAATTCCAAGCACAAATATATATGTATTTGTCTCTGGGTTGGTGCATTCAACCCCCCCTGCTGTAGACATCATGTCTTATCTCAGATTTTATCTCTGCCAAATGTTTACATAAGTCTGTCTTAGCCTTGAAACACAAAATGTCTGACATTATAAATATACTGACGGTCTGCATGGGTCAGTGTGTGTGTGTATGTATGGGTCTCTGTGTGTATAGGTCAGCGTGTGTCTTTTGAGTCAGTGTGTATCTGCATAGGTCAGAGCGTGCCAAACGAGGTTGCTGCAGGAGTGCCCAGTAGTGGATTTGAACCTGGGTACTATTTAGTCCTGGGGCTGCTATGTTACCTCTGAGCCACCATTCAGCTTTAGTAATGCTAGTATCTAGCTCTGTCTTGTATCCAGCACTGGGGGGCTGGATATGCATTGGAATTACTCCTGTCACTCTTGGTACACCTGAAGATGATGGTATCATTTGCCAGGTATAAAACACTGACTTTCCCAGAAGGCAGTGTCAGTTCCTTGACTCTGGTTCCGTATTGCTGTTTGTGTTCCAGTGTGCTCCTGTTGATTCCTGACCATGGCTTGTTACTCCGTATATCCTGACTTCTGGCATCCTCTGACCTCGGCTTTCTTCTCGTTAATACTGATTTGTGGCAACCTCTGGCTTACCAATGACGATTCTCCTGCTTTATCCGTTCCTGTACTGTGACTTGGAGAATTAGACTGCACAGCCCCCGTGCACCGACTCACAGGCCAGGTGAATTCTTATCTGACCACCTCGGCCTGTGTTTACTTGCAAGAGTGAGCATATATCTCTGTCTGCCGGACTCACAACTCAGGTAAGCCCTGACAAGGGGTCAGTGTGAGCGTTTGTGTGTGGGTCAGAGTGTGTCTGTATGGGTCAGCGTGTATGTGTGTAGGGCGGCAAACATTTTTCACCTAGGGTTGGAAAAATCCTTGCGGCAAGCAAGCATCACATTGGGCAAAAGGAATTAGCTTATTGGTCAAGATTCCTATCATCATTCACGTAATGTTTCCTCCCTCTCTCTTGTTTTGACACTTTTCCGGAATTCCGAAGCGCTTCGGACATTCTTAAGCCGTTTGTTTAAGAAGAGGTAAGACATTTTCTTCTATTATTTTGTTTGGGTCCGAGGATATCATTATACCCAAATATTTCATACTTGATGACCAAACAAATCTCTATTTATTTTTCAATAGCTCTTTAGTTTGAACCGAAATGTTGTTTATTAAAGCTTTTGTTTTGTTCAAATTTAGCTTATAACCGGACAGAGAATTATTCTATGACCATAACCTTTTCTTCCAAAGAATTTTCGGGATCTTCTAAGGTCATTATCACATAATTTGCATAAAGGTTCAGTTTCAGTTCACCGGAATTTGTTCTGAAACATTTAAACCTATTATAATCTGAGAAGCCAGTGGTTCCAGTGACATTATATATAGCATCAGGGAGAGCGGGCAATCCTGCCTGGTTACATTTGCCAGATTGAACCAGTCAGAGCTGAAGCCCCCACCCAAGTAGTTGGAGCTGAATACAAGGCCATAATGGCCTCCAACATCCACCCATTCAAACCAAATTTCCTTAAAACTTTC